GAAGTGCAAAATCCACTCCTGTTTTAACTTTATTATCCATAAAGCAAAAAATGACTCATTTCAGAATGAGTTAGAAAGATAACCCAAACACAGTTACAAATAAAGGGCCACAAAATCTTCATAGTAAACACATGGCAATTTATTTACCTTTATGAAAAGACTTGGTGTTATTTAAGAGCATCTATGTTCATGAGATGGAGTGACCTGATTTTTTTTTGTTACATCTGTTGTTATTACAACCAAGTAATTTGATTAACTGATAACTGTAAAAGAAAACTGGGATTGAAGACCGTCCTCCCGCTCTATAGATCTAAATAAAATATGGAAATCCACATCTTTCACAATTAGGTCTTAAAGCATCTCAAGTTGTCCGAGGGTATTTAAATTGTTCTTAACTTTTTAGATTAAAAAATGTATCATCATCAAATGATATAAAAGAATAGAAGATAATTTCATAAAAAGAGTCAACATAATTGATGGCTAAGTGAAGATGCTATAGCACCGATGTTGAGGTGCAAACTCAGAAATTCCCCTTATATTTTAACTTTGAGTGAACAGTACACTCTCTAACATTGTTCCAAAAATCTCCATGACACAGCATTTCGTAGTTACTCGGAGACGTGGCTCAGGATATAATTCGGCTGAACCTGCTTTAAGGACTTAAGAAAATGAATTCTGTATTGTAAATACGAAACAGTTAATTAAACAAAATGTTCTTTCCAATATGTTATTCAGTGATACCCTTTTAGGTAAGGATTTTGTTTTATTTTAAGACTTTGATATTTACTGAATATTCTGTTAAAGTGAGTGGTAATTGAGTTAAAGATGTGTCAATAATTGCTTGTTATCTACATTAACATTTAAACAAAAAAGATGTGTATTTGAACACTGGCACTAGGTATGTGACTTCAACTGTGATTCCCATCAAAGTAAAATAATGTTCATTTTTACCACGCTCAGCATGAAAATAGGAAACCCAGATTGATTTGGTAGCAGGAAAACATGCTACCGAGACCTGGAAAAGAAAGCACTTAATTAAAGGCTGAGATGGGCTTAATGATTTATTGAATGCAAACATTTTGAATACTAGGAACAGTGATTGAAAGAACAAGCCAAGATACTTAAGGGAAAGGATGGACTTCTTTATACCAGAGATGATTTAAATATACTCTTGTCAGAAAGAATTGATTACATTAGTTCTATTTTTACCCTCCTGAGACACTAGAAAGGACTATTGATAGGCAACTTTACATGGAAATATTTAAATCTCAAATCTCCAATAAATCTCTCTGGAATCTCAGCTGGACTTTGAAAACTGTGTCTGATCTCAGCACCAGTGGGTGACAATGATCCATTTTATTCTGAAGTTTTGCTGCCTTTTTATTCCCTTCAAAGTAATTTGTTGCTGAGCATGGTGGTTCATGCCTATAACCCCAGTTACTCAGGAAGCTGAAGCAAGAGGACCTGAGTTTTAAGCCCACCCACTTAGATGTCCTAACAATACCTTGTCTTGAAATAAAATTGAAAAAGGCTGGAGGGGTGGTCTTTCTCAGTGGTAGAATGCCCCTGAATTTGACCTGTAATGCCCAAACAAAATTTTTGAGTATCAGTGTGTATTGTACATATGAGATAATAATTACTAAGAGAAGCAAGTTTCAGGGTTGGAAGCTTATTGGGTATTTATTTTTATC